GTTTGCAATTGGGGGAAGGAGGGGAATCAGTCAAATAAAATCACTAACAATATAGGTTGGCGTGCCAGGAGCTAGCGATCTGTATTGGCGCCTACCTGGAGCAGACATCAAATCAGTCAGCATTACAGACCAGTCATCAATTCCTTTAAAAAAATGGCAGGCATCACCAACACATGCAGAAAATAACGAAACCAAATACTGCAGAAAATGTCATCCATAGCCCACAATACCAAACAGCAGGTACCCCGACAAATGCTTCCCACGATTACCGTGCAGCTACCGCAGAGTAGCCAGCTATTTCCTATGCCACGAGCGAGTGATCAAAGTTTTGAATTCTTCAATGCGCCTGCTGCCAAGCGTGTGCCAACGCGGCAAAGTTTGTGCTTTCAAATAAAACGTTGGTCATATCCATGCCCAGTGGTTTAACTGGGCAACACTGTACCGCATGACGTCGGTCATTGGCTGAGGCGGGCGAAATCGGCTCCGGTAGCCCTCTATCGGGCAATATTCGAACCATTAGTTGAAGGGTTGCGGGAAGTGGGATAATATCCCAACCCGAGGATCTCACGCACCCGGGACTTTATGAACACTGGACGCTGCAAGCCTGGACTTTACGATTCTCCTCTGTCCAGGGATTTTGGACGGTTTCTGAATGTTGTGAACGCTGGATACTGTGACTGCACTTTTTGACCACTGGACTCTATGAGCTCAGGACGCTTCAATACACATCCTCGCCCACTAAAGCCGAGACGGGACTCTGGTGTCTTCGCACCACCGGTCGTCTCAGGTAGGCGGTTCCCCCGGCTGTCGTGCGCGCGCTGCCGTCGACACGATTTCAATCGCTCACATGCTTATCCACCCGCCAGCTGATCAACTGTGGCTCATCTGTCTGTGTTAGATAGAGACCATGCCTGCCACAGTGGCTGTCGTCGCGAGCGCAGGTGCTGAGATCAACACAGGCCGCCGCGCCGCACCACCAATCCCACCGCTGTCCACCAGCTGAACAGTGGCAACTCGGCACAATTATATCACTCAGAAGTTGGACGTTGGCGTGTGATGCGATGACGCCATGTAGTTCAGGCTATGCATTGGCACTCCGTCTATCACGAAGCAAGCGCGGTTGCAAGGGCTGCAAGCGAGCACGAAGCAAGGGCTGCCGTGGAAAGCATGCCCAAATAAGGAACAAACTGCAGACTGCAACCGTTACGTCCCTGGTGAATGCATTACACAGTATGACTTATTTACGTTTGTGCATTGTTCAAAGCAGTATGGTTTAAGTGATATATTGTTGCTGCAACCGGTCAGGTATTATAACGCTTGACTCTAATGATATCCCATACAACCGAACGCAAGGTGTGAACCGATCAACGCTCGCCGCAGATCGTTATCAAACTCAACCAGGGTTACCGTCTGACGGCGAAATTTTGCGACTCATACAGTAAAACAACTTTACTTATTAGAAGTCTGATTAGTGACTTCCCTCAAAAATAATTTTAAGCGGCCAACCATGCAGCCTTATGGACTAGTACGTTGGGATTTGGCATCAGCTTTCACTATCTCGCCAAGCAGTTAAAAATCCGCCAAAACTTCGTCCACGCCAATATTTTCTAAGAAGCTAAGTTTTCCACGTTTTTCCATCCGGAATGCCATTTTTGGGGTTGTTGTCCCTCAATTTTGGTTTGGCCCCGCTAATTTTAGAAACGTGGTTACACCAATGCTGCTTACCACCAGTAATAAATAGAGTGGTGCCGCTGGAAAAATAGGGTGGTGTCGCCGCCCTCTACTTGCGCGAACAGTCTTAATGCATCGAAACGCTATACATGCGTTACGAAAAGTTTGCTTAGACTTATAAAGTAACCGTTTGCAGGGCATGACCTTTACCTTCGTACGCCTCCAAGGGCAGAGTTTAAAAAAGCAGTTGTGAGCCGAAACCCAAGTTTTAAAGGGCGGGGGTCCCAGGGGACGAGAAGCGAGGGATTTTTTTGCCGACCCTCTTTGCAACGCTTTTAGTACTGGTGTTAACATATTGTTATGAGACGGGCCCCAACATTGGTGACAGCCAGTGACAACTGGCCCAGTGGCAAGTGAGTCAGCAACAGCTGAACCAGGGGCAACTATACCAAGACCTTACGCGCGGTCCTCCCTGTAAGAACCGCGTTAGGGACACTAACAGGGACGACTGGACCTTAACTCCATTACCTCGGTAAAAAGAGACCGCGCCACCTACGTTACGACGTTAGGGTGGTCCTGTCCTAATGGCGTATTTTTAATGCCGCATTTTTACAAAGACGTCAGTGCGTGTGTGCAGAAGGTTTGAACTGAATGTTTCAAGTAAATTGGACGTGACTTCTGACCCCTGACCGTGACGTCAGCAGTGCAGGTCTTTCCTTATGCCGAGCAACGGGTGCAGAAGCATTAGCTGACACAGCTCAGATTCATGTCTAGCTCTGTTTCGCACTTACACTTGCACTTTCTGTAGCACGTGCAGTGTGTCACTCATGGTGTGAAAAATAAAGAGAGCAGCAAACAACTTGACCAAAGAAGGTCACTGGGCTACTTGCCACTAGCTTGGGTGTCTCTGGTTCAGCTTACCATCTTTCAGTTGTTAGAAACAGTTACCACTTGTTCAGTTGTCCTGGTCCAATTGTCACTGCGCTGTTTGTCCTAGTTCAGCTGCCACTGCCTTAGTTTGTCTTTGGCCCGGCCTTCGCTGGGACCATTGTCACTGAGTGAGTTTTTACTGGCTTCAGGTGTCGCTGGTTCCACTGTTACTGCTTCAGGTGTTGTGGCCCAGTTGTCACTGGTTCGACCGCCACCGGTTCAATCGTACTGGAAACTCTTGCTGTGATTGTGCGTGGCCGACTAATTAGTTTCTGTGTTTTTACATAAGTGCAGCCATGATCAATATGGCTAAGGAGCTTGGTAAACCTAAGCTGAGCAGCAGAGGCATTTGCACTGCACGTAATGCAGGGCAACGGTGCCTTTCAAAAAACGGGCCTGCGGTTACAAATTTCTGTGAAGAAAACGATCTCTGATTTCGGTTTGGGGAGGAAGTCGGCTGGGAGTCGCCCGAGTCGCCTAGCAACAGTCCTAGGGCCTTGGCAACAGTCGACAGCCTGGTAATTAAGAAGAGTGGGTGTCTAGCTCCAAGAAAAAGTGAACACCTGGAGATAATTCGTTGCGCAATAGTTCAGCATCCCAAATCCGCTGCATGATGAGTAAACATGTGTCCAGCTTTTCAACCCGATGAATGCTTTTTATGTTTAGCATCCGATATTGTGTCGCTTAGAAAGCGGTGGCCTAGCTATATTCGGACACCACTTCTGCTCTCCTCCTGCGATGCAGACGAATCGAGCGTCGGTGAGCCAGAAAGTCGTCTCCCCGCTGTGTGGGATGAACGCAGTGATAACAGGTGTGATTCATGTTACCTTATACATCATACCAAAATACAAGCGAATAGAGCCTGTTGTAACAAGAAACCCATATCAATATGATTATCAATGTATCTGAATATATTCCTTTCATGAGCATAGCTGGTGGAGAGGCCCTCGCGTTTTCTGTTCGTATATGAATTTGCAATGGCTGACTGAAAACCTACACTAATGTATTAAAATGGTATGATATGCGTAACGCCATTCTGTAAATCATAATGTAATGTAATATCTGTAATATTATCATATTACAGATATTATATATAATATCTGTAAATAATCTTAGATATAATATCTGTAAATAATCATACTGTAAATCATAATGATGTAAATCATAGTTTGATAATGTATATATATATATATATATATATATATATATATATATATATATCATAAAAATGATAAGTTATTACATAGTTTCAGTACTGTCCTTTGAAATCTATACACTGATGCTAAACATGAGAGTATCTCCGCCTACTCAACCCAAGGAAGAAGCATATTGAAATGTTTTGATAATCATAGTCGTGTGGGTTTCCAATTACAACGGGTTTTAATCGCTTATGTTTCCGTGTCGTATGCAGAGTGTTGTGAAATATTTAACATATATTCATTCGTTGCATATACGGTACATATGAACTATAACAAAATAACATTATTGTAAATACGTTTCTAAAATATTGGCTGCCCCGGCCCAGATGTAATCTGCCCAGTACATCAGATGTACTGGGCGGATTACAGAAAGGATGCGTCACTGCCATTACTGTGACTGTCACACCTTGGCAGATTTTGCCAAGGTGTGACAGTTGCAGTCCTGATAGCCGACCGGTTAGCGCCTTCGGCTCCCACGTCCTCGGTTCGAACCCCCATTGCCCCATGGTCCAGTGCGTTAATATGGCCTGTGCAGTCGCACGCGCCCCTTTAAAGGGTACGCAACGACGCACATGTGGTTCCTTTTCTTAAAAAAAAAACACGAGGTGGATGAAACGTTTATGTTTCTGTGACCGTGACGAAAAAAGTGAAAACACCTCTAATTTGTTGTAGATCGATCACAATGAACTAGCGATGCCCAAAAACAAAAACAAAAAACAAAGGTGTGATTCACTTTTGAAGTCACGTCTACGGGAAAGCATGTACACTGATGAAGAGTTCATGTGCGAAGCTGCAGAAAAGTGGTCTAAGGGAAGGCTTATAGACTCGTAATCCAGCGGCACTGGGTACGAGACCCAGAGCGGGCGCATTGGCCCGACTGAAATGGAAAAGGTCAGCTGGCAACTGGTCAAAGAGGGTCAACTCAGGCCCGGAGCGGCCGTGTCGCAGCATTGTGCGACACGCAAAGCCCTCCGCATTCTTGTCTGGAGCAAGGGCGGAGGCAAAATGATCCGTTCAACTGGGCGGTATGACTTGGGTGGTGGGTTCAGGGTGCATGTAACAAGCTTTACTTAGCAGGCACCATGAACCCCGTCACCCATGCAAACCATTCGGAGTACATTTATAAAAAAGTGAATAGAGAGCCAGCCAAGAGGGGTCTTTTCCAGAGCCATGGAGATCATCAAGGTAACATAGGAGAAATGAGTTGCGCTCAATGGAGACCGCTTTAAAATGGTGTATTCTCCTCCGTTCTATAAGGTCTCTGTATGTCTCGCTCTTCAAACTTTATAATATAGACTCGTACGCAGGCACTCTACATCCGTTCGGAAGTACCATGCAGCGCATGCCAACTCCACCACACGACGGGGTGGGACAACCCACACCTCCGCTGGTGCCTGGCCGCTGCGTGGCGGTGGTAGTGGTAGTGGTAGTAGTGGTGGTTGGCGCTGCCCAGCACACACCGCCTCGACACCGGCCCGACAGACACATCCGGTCCGCCAGACAGCCGAACCAGTTCGGACTGCGCGGCAGACACACGCCACCCAAGCGGAACTGGATGCTTGCTCAGGGGCACAGCGGCGGGGCCAGCGTCAGGCGGAACTGGGCCCGGCTGGTATCGCCGCACGTCGTCAGTGACAAGAGCAGCACCTGGGGTAGGTCAGGTCAGGTTAGCAAAACTCGGCTGGTGTGACCACACCCCGCTCGTGACGAGGGCAGCGGCTGATCACAAGTCAAGCCAGGTCAGGTCACGCTAAGCGAAGCTCGCAAACGTTGGGCGCAAACGAAGCCATTAAGCGTTCACTCCTCAGTGGCTTGGAGAGGGCTGATAGTACGCTGCGTCGCAAAGGAACTACGAAGAAGAGTTGTTCAAGCTGAACACACATGAGAGTTTATCGAACATGACTGCGTTATGATGAAGGGACGGTGCTTACTGGTGCTTGGACAGCCATACGACGTGCTTGTTGTGTAGCAAGGTTTGTGTAAAATGGTGCTGAGAATGCGTAAGAGCAAAGGAACTATAACGAAGCCATTGCAGTAACCAGTGCAGCGCGATGTAAATGTTGGGCCTAAATTATACTAAGGCGACAGTGTCTCATTGCAAATCCAGTCAGGAGAGAGCTAGCGATGTCGTTGGTCACTAGTTTTGATGCACGCCTATCAAAGTACCGGTCTGGGTACACCACCGGAAATCCGCAGAACATTCCTTCAGTGGGGATCTTCTGAATACGAAATCCATTCCGGTGTAGTCGGCAAGACGACAAAGCAGATATTCCATTCAAAAATGGCAAGTTTTGTTCTGTTATCTGGTGTGTCATCGATCTGTTATAGTTCCGTTATACATCTGTTTTAATTCTGTTGTGTATCTGTCTTGGTTTTGTTTCTATCTTGTATAGTCCTCTTATCCATCTGTTGCTGTCAAAGTTCGGTTAGAAGCAAAACATCAGTTATGCTGTAAATGGTCGTGGTACGTCACAGTATCTGTTTCAGACTCGTAACCATGAACATGCTTCGGAACGCCGCATTTTAACCACGGAACCGATGGTTGATAACGCCATTTAACCAGTCCCTCTTGGTACATTGAAATAACTGTCAACGTAAGAACTTTGAACTCATGATAAATAACTTTGCACAGTTCTGATCAAGTGTAGGAACATTAAACGGTTCGTGTGTTTCGTTTGGGGCTTGGCAAAGTATGTGCTTTGAATGCGCACTAACTGCCCTGCTAGAAGTAAGTATCAACCAGGGATGTTGTCAAGATTTGACGTCATGGAAAGCCAGTGTTCGGAGGGCGAACAGGTGATAAGGGTTGAGGACAGGCCGTTCATGTTAGTGGCTCAATAGTCACTTGGAGGTGTAGTCCCTGGCGGCAGGGTGAGCACGGTAACCGCGTCCCTGGCACAGCAGTGGACGCGGTTGACCGATGATGACGGTGTTCCTCTATATCGTGGACACGGAGTCTGTATTTATTTCCGGCCTGCATCATGTTAACACGCGCATGGGTGGGGGTCAATCTGACCCCTGAAGCTTTTTACAGAATAATTTCCGAAAGGCACGGCACAGCAATCGGCAATTCAATAGCGGGCCTTTTGGCATAAAACATAACATGTACTTTGCAAGGTGGCTAAGCTATGACAGGTCAAGGTCAGGTAATAGCTTTCAAAAGAGACGACTTTAATGGGATCTTCAAATGTGATGCGACAACAAGGTGCTAGACGAAGTCATACAACTCCGAGATAGTTACCTAGACAATAACACAACTTCAGTTAAGGTTACAACTAATTTTATTGCCTAGCTTTCATGGCAATTGGTTTCATGAATTTTTTCATGAATGTTTCATGAATTCAATTTCGTGGCATTGGTGTCGTAGAATTTTGTTCACCACGACCTTAGGCAGGTCATAAAAGGCCACTGACATAAATGAGTGGCAGTGACCTTTCGCTCCAAACAGGGATCTAGGTTCAAGGCGGTTGTATGAGAAAGTTTGGTGTCACTATGAACACCAATCCGGAGTTTGACACTGTTTGATCTTATCTGACCCGAAGGACATTATCTAGGACCCTTGAGATTCAACAAACGCGATTTCACATACAGGCCAACAGGTGAATTCGATGTTTCTAGCACTCTTAATTTTGAAATATCAGGGGGTCAAGTTCCCCTCGCCCCACCCGAGTGTGGGCTACTTAGCCGTCCACCCGGGGTGTGTTGACGCAGATACAACAGGTCATATAGTTTACTGTCAATTCACGTTTCCATATTAATTACCCAATAGAATTATTTTGAAAATGTGCTTGATTTCGGTCCTTGGGCTTACTCAGCGGCGGTAGCTTACACAGCGACGGCGAGAGCACTCAGATTAGTAATTTCAGCTCATGGGCCTCGTCGACGTGTGCTGCAAGCAGTCGAGCCCTCACCAGGGCGAGCGCTGCTGGGACGGCCACGACGTCAGGCCGCTGCCGCTGCTGGCGCTGGCGCTGACCGGAGCACTGCACCTCCGTCTCTTCTCAGGCCTCCGCAGACGACGCGGGGCCAGCGGCTGGTGTCGGCGCGACAGGTGGCGTCACGGCGCTCTCTGGGCCGGCGCGCAGGTGGCTGTCCTCTCCGGAGAGGCGTGCACTGCCGCGCCCCGGGGTCCGACCGGCCGTAGTCGGGCGTCGCCCCAGTGCAAACAGGGTACCGTTGGGATGCCCCGAGCGAGCGGGTGAAGTAGTTCACGAATGGCGGGGGAGGTCGGCTGAGGGGAGGGGTGCCGGCGGTGAAAGCTGGTTCTCCATGACAGAAACAACCTAACTGCCAGGCCGCGAATGCTGGCGATCACTGGAATGTGGGCTGCGTCAGTGGTTGCTGAGTGACACTTTTATTACATTTCATTGGAGTTAATGTATTTTACTGCATAGGGATTGCAGCTCATTACAACTGTTCAGTAATGTCGCCTGTGCACAACAGTGGACCGCTGAACACGTGAGCCCGTGCGGTGGAGGGGGTATTCCAGACGCGTGAAACTGGGTCCACTCTGGCGGGGAGTGTCCTCCGACAGAGCGACCGCCGCCGTCACACACTGTCTGACCATTACGGCCACTGCAGCCTCTCTCCTGGCTTGAAACTAAATGCCGCCGAAGAACTGACTGTTGAAGGCGCACCAGGCAGCGCCCTTCTCACTGTTGATGGCGCACCATACGGTACCCTTCCCACTCTTGAATGCGCACCAGGCGGCGCCCATTTTACTGTTGATGGTGGCGCAACAGGTGACGCGCTTATCACTGTTGATGGCGCACCAGGCGGCACCCTTCTCGCTGTTGACGGCGCACCAGACGGTACCCTTCCCTCTCTTGAATGCGCACCAGGCGGTGCCCTTTTTACTGTCGATGGCGGCGCAACAGGCGACACGCTTGTCACTGTTGATGGCGCACCAGGCGGCGCCTTTCTCGCTGTTGATGGCGCACCGACGAAAGCCTTGGCTGTTGACTTAACCGTTTAAAGATGCGTGCTCATCGTCGGTAAACCAGATCGGATCCGTCAACGATCGGTTAGGTTCGCACGGTTGCAGGACCCAAGCGCAGCGAAGGCCAGCACGTGCGCAGGCGCCCAGCACCATGTCACCCCCAGGTAAGGCATCGCAGACCCGGCTGTGGATGATCACGTTCATCATCCGAAATAATGTCAACGGGATCGCTTCGGAACGGACAAACTAACGTCAACGGAGGCTGTGATACCGAAAGTGCAGAGGCTCAATTGCGCGCCTGAGAAACACGCCCCTGAGTAAATCCCCTACCACAAACACGCACACACACACTCCGCAGAATGGAATTGCACAGATCCAGTCCAGTATTCGCAAAGCTACCGACTATATTGAAATCAAGGTAATGGGTAAAGTAACCTCCGAAATCACGAGAGAAAAATCCAAACACACCGTGGACCAACTTTACTGTTGTGAGAGCTCCATATCAGCTATGACCTGGGCAAGTCACGGGCCTGTGGATGTCCGATTCGGCTTGATTTGATAGCCCATATTTCTCTGAAACAGACGAAACATGGCTAAGGCCACCTTCAGTCCCGCAGACTCAGGCCTGTCAAGAACCGTACGTATCAGCTTGTAATTGTCTTCCACGCTGGAGCCAGCCGAAAGAATGGCATCATTATACACATGAACGCCTGGAGAGACACAGTGCATCACGCATAACAAGACACCTAAGTGCGGTGACCACACACACCCCAGGAGCATACGTGACATGCTTTACCAAGCGCACAGACTGCACGAATGTTATTTGGCGCATCAGATGACACCAAACTCCAAAGAGCGTTCTTTATGTCTTGTGAACACGACGCTTTCTGACCGTAGACGCCAACAGGGATCTTATCAATGTTTGGAAACACAACTTGGGGAAAACTGGTCACTTATTCAGCGACCGCACATATTGAGCAATGCGGAACTCCCGAGAGCCTCTCCTGCCGGGAGCGGAATAGTGAACGAGCTCTAACGCGAATGCTCTCCAGGTTCGATAGAACCGCAGCCTTGCGGACCATCCAGCTATGATTTTGGCTGTGTTCTCGTATTCAGTGCACCAGAAACTGTCTGCCTTAACTCTGACTGCAGTTCCAACGCCGTCAACAACATTGCCGTTATACATACCGATCTCGGAATGGCCACAGGGAAACTTCAGAAGAGTCCAACAGTGACGCTCATTTTTCCCGCAGCGAGCGAGTTGGCGAGCTCGGCTCACCAACCACAACATCGAAAAGAATCTCCTCGGCGCTGTGGCCAATGTACCGACCATCATCGACCGACACCGTGTTGATCCCTGTCATATCGCCACCGGCGTCTTCCCGTACTGACCCAGGGTTGCACCACTCGACGTTTTCGGTCTTCTCAACATGTCCTATGGTGCTACGCACGTCTGTTGCTAGCTATCGGTCGGAACAATTATGCACATGATCGGTGTTTCAGTGACGGAAAAGACAATTTCTCATAACAACTATACACAGGCTCACATCCGGTAAGGCTCACATCACATACACAGGCTCACATCACAGGCATACGGTAAGCACAGGCTCACATCCGCAACCCCCGGTTCCATCGGCTTTTCCTTGAAGTTCCGGTTCCATCGGCTTTCCTTTTCCTTCCATTTCTCTAGCGTTCAATTGGTGACCAGATGCAGTTATCATCACCGAGCAAGTGGCGTCAGTTCGAAGTCAGGAACGATGGCGCCGCATACACAGCTGTCTTTAATGGGCTGCTAGCTTCTAGAGTCCAACGCTGCGTTACTCATCTAAAATCAGTTCATGATGACCTAAGCGGAGGGGAGTGCCGTGATTCCCTCGCCAGACTGTCCTACTGTTCGTTTGGGCGCTGCCGCTTCAGATGACCCCATTCGTGACAGGACCAACCCTGGACCCGCAACACTACGAGTGTGGTCCATCTGCCCCAACGGCTGCTGGCGACCGGACCGGTCGCTCTGCCACCTGCTGTGCAAATGAAAGACCAATGGTGTAGCTTCCTGTATACTGCAATTAGCACAGGTATCATTGGGAGGCCGAACGGATCATCTGGAGCGGAGAGCGGCCTGATGATTCGCCCTGAACCGTTCTCCAATGTTTTTAGCATTGGAGAACACTCTGAAGGGCGCCAGCTCCGAAAGCAGGGGAGGAGCATGACCCTCAAATGCGTGTGAAATTTTGTCCACGACACAATGTTTACACGATACCTCTTGTATAAGGGTGAGTGCTAGTGGCCGAGTTAGTTGGCTTTTATTTTTATTACACTAGTAATTTCATCAGAAATCTTACTGGTCAGCCTTACTGCTTTTCGAAGCTGGAGCTTATCCAGTTATTAATACGCCAAACGCTCTTTAGTTTCAAACGTGTTATTTTTTCGAAAGGAGTCTTTACAAGAACCGCACCAGTCAATTAGTAAGCTGGCGTCACTTTAGCGACTCAAGCTCGTGGCAAACCTTCCTCATCGCCGCGCCATTATTACAGATTGCCGGCTGCGCTACATTGATAATTCATGATCAAGGCTTCCGCCACTTATTATCGCGTATACGGCTTCGGCCTTATATTACTATATTGTGGCTGCATAGACGGTAGCGCTTACCGTTAGGGCATACTATAGCTTCATCCTAGCAAGTCATGAATAGATCCTTCCGTGCGGAGACCAGGAGCAGAACAAAGGATGATGGCAAGCGTTTTATGCATACTGTGGACAAAGTTCGTAAATGGTAAGAATTCGCTGAATGGTTGCTTCTAGCCAACTATACTTGACTCCATCAAACTGGACTGATTGTGGGATCAAGTCGATATGGCCAGAATGCATAGGATGCCATCTGTCATAAGATAGTTTTTTACATTTAGAGAAGTTATGTTTTTTGGAAATATCTAATTATCAGAATTAATCAACAACAGTGTTGGTTGTAGTTTAGCTAAAGACCTGGGAGGCCAGTTATTGGGCATGTTTATATTTAAATCATGTTGATTCCCTCCCACAGGACAAGTGTTGCTGTCTCAATCAGGGGGAAATTATCTCTATATGATCTTAAACACCAACCAGAGGCCAACTGCGCAAGAGCTAAAGAATAAGGATTCTAAAAGGAAATCCATGTGAACATTGTGACATGTTTGCTATTTTTGTCAGGGTGTACATTGCTACGTCATGTTAAAAAGAGCACTGTACATGAATCATCATTTTTAAGGCAGAACATATCATAATTAATCATAAAACAGGTCATCTAAACTCTTACCTTGGAACTTAAATAACTACAATAGCGAACATCCGAGCGCCGCAATCACACAGCAACCGCGAACCCCGGCACCACCATTGCTACATGTGATCACAACATTACTGCGCAACAGGAACGCAACAAGAACCATAAAAGTGTATGAGGCCAATGTAACAAGAATCCAATGGAATATGTTTTCTTGCATATCCAAGCAGTCTTCCATATTGTTTGTAGATTGTTTGACATGGTGGGGAAATATGATGTTTTTGGGTGGGAATGAAAGCAAAATGAGAATACTGCGGCTAAACACAACTTCTTAGTACGGTACATATATATGGCATGGAATGTTGATACCAATGGGACACTGGTTGAAGGGTATAGGGTGTGGGGTTGGTTAGGTTAGGTTAGGTCAGGTTAGGTTGGGTTAGGCTAGGCTAGGCTAGGCTAGGCTAGGCTAGGCTAGGCTAGGCTAGGCTAGGCTAGGCTAGGCTAGGCTAGGCTAGGCTAGGCTAGGCTAGGCTAGGCCAGGCCAGGCCAGGCCAGGCCAGGCCAGGCCAGGCCAGGCCAGGCCAGGCCAGGCCAGGCCAGGCCAGGCCAGGCCAGGCCAGGCCAGGCCAGGCCAGGCCAGGTTAGGTTAGGTTAGGTTAGGTTAGGTTAGTTCAGGCTATGTTCTGGACTATCCTGGCCTGTTCATTTCATAAACGTACCTAGACGTGGTAAGAAACGTTTTTCATTGCATTATTATTGTTACCTTGGCCCCATACATTTTTTATGGTTCTTGATAAGCGGAAATATCGTAATCACGCGACGATGACGCAGAAACGGCGCTGGGGAGTCGAGGTGGTGGGGTGCGTGCGGCGCTCGGGAGCTCGCTATCGTAGTTATTAAAATTTGAAGGTAGGAGCATGGATCTACCTATTTTACAATTATTTACTATATGTTCCGCCTTAAACACGACAAATGATGTAGAATTTTTTCTAGCAGTAGGTACCAATGTATACCTACACCATTATTTTGAGTGTATTCAAAAATGCTAGACATTGTAATCATGACATCATGGATGTTATGTTGCATTTTCATTGTAACTGCTTATTTCTCCAACCCAACATAACCAGTTAAGCTGCTATATGCTTTGAATTGGTCTGGGAAGTCTGACCATCTCTTTGTAATACATTCCAGGTTTGTTCCATTTGTGTTTGTACAATTTGGCTTGTGTGTATATTGTGTCATGTGTATGGTTTTCCAGGTATTAGCGTAACATGATGAAATTGACTACTCAACCATCCATATGTTGGCTCATGGTGTACATGATTACATCACAGACCTGCATGTTGGTGTGTTCCAGGGAGAAGAAGTGGGTGGCAGTCAGTGATACAACAATGAGGATCTACAAATGGGTCCCAGTTTCTGTTGAGAAGCGAAAGAAGATGAAATCATTGGCAAACAAAGAAAATCAGAATCAGGGTGGAAAGACTATTGAGACACCCAGTCCATCATTTCTGGGAGAAGATTCAAACACAGGTGCATTATTTAAGGCTTACTTGCTGCTCTTTTGGCTGTCATAATATTTATGGTGATTATGATTATGATTATGGTTATCATTTCAGGACTATTTGAGGAAGGAGGATGGACAATGGTGGGACAGGACTACATGCTTTAGGAGCCAACTGCCGAGCGTTCGCCCGCGCTCCGCGGGTTGTGCGCTGGGCGCCCGGTCAGGGTCCCCTTCAGGGGCCTCTCGGCCCATTCGTGGCTAGCGCTGCAGCCTGCCCGGACAAGCGGGCGTCACGAGTATGCAGCATGAAGCAAGAAAAGGGATAAGACGGTCTTGATCGCTGACGCTGCTTTCTTTTTTCCATAGCATAAGCGCTGGCATCGATCGGCTTATGACCATTTACAACCTGTTGCAGGTTTCTCGGTCACTTCAGACTCAATGGACACGGACTTCCAGCAGATCAACTTCTCCGAGGACTCAAACTCGCAGTCAATGTCCGCACCTGGCGCCACCAAGCGGCCGTAGCTAAAACGACTGTGGTCTCAGGAAGCAGGAAGCGGAGTCGGCCATCGCCTTCGCGGAAGTTATTGCTGTGCCTCCCGTCTGTTACTGCCTCCCACTGTATGGCGAGACTCCTCCCGACGCTCGTGCGCTGTGCGTCAATTCCGCTATCATGCGTCCTTGGAGGTGTGCATGGGTGTGCTCCATCCTCTGCAATCATGTTCTTTGTCGTCATTGAGCTTATGTGTCTACCAGGTATGACCTATGCGCTGTTTTGCGTGGGGGCCCGTCTTGATTTTAGTCACTGACGATCTCATCTGAACGTGTGGTACCATCCGCCGACAGCCGATAGAGCTGCTGTCGGCGCCAGGCCTATATGGGCGCCATATGGCCTGGCGGTCGCCGCGCCCTTAACCCAAATCGTGATCATCGTCATCATCATCGACTTCCTGTCGTTTTTGGGAGGGTGTAGTGGGATAATTTTTTGAGGTTTTGGGCTCGATGGCAGTGCATCTGAAAAGTTACAACGTAGAACCGCTCAATAATTGTTACTCAGTATAGGTTCGAATGTTTGAAGCAAAAATTGTCGCTCAAAATCGGACATCAGATTAATTTATCCGTAAACCACAATGCAATGTTCAGGGTTGACCCTGTGTGGTTGGCAGTGGCTCGGGGGTGAACCCAGCCCCATGCTCGGAACTGCAGCCTCCAGTCGGTCAGCTATCTCATCTGCCAGACATGCAGCCAGCCGGAGAGAGTCTTTTGATGCCAGAACGACAGCCATCTACTTGGAATATGAATCTCTGTCTAGGTCTAGCCGGAAGTTTACGTTTCGTTCCATGTAGAATATCTGCGTTTGCTTTTATATTTCTGACCCGGCTTTTCAAAATGGCGGCAGGTTTCGTTGTGGTTATCTTCGCAAATGCACTGCGGTCGAGAGCCTTGCCTTAAGATTTATCCTTGAAAGCGCCTGTTCGGAGCGGGGGCACCGACAGTGCCAGATTTGTTCCGTCGGCCCTTCGGTACTCTTGCACATTTCGTTTTAGTGGTCGCGCTCGTGTCAAGCGTCTATGTGCACTGACTAAACAAGAAGCGTGACATAAACAAAAAAGGCGGACCTTAGAAGGTACATACGTTTCAAATCATCCCGGCAAGCCCAGGAGCCGTCCGCGCGCCGAGGTGCAGGCCTGGCGCCTGTTTGATCCCAGCATGCCGCCGCGCAGCCGGACCCGTCTGGGGTGGGTCAGCAGACCGTCTGCCGGAGCTGAGCACCAGACAGCTGCCACGTGACGGCCACGCGGGTCGGCCACCCACCGGGATATCACAGCCCGCAGCTCAGTTCAGTGGGCCTCCGCCGGTGTAGCCCGTCACGGATACACTTTGGAAAAGCAAGGATGCGCTTAAATGATCAGGTTGATCGACCAGGCTTGTCACGAAATGTCTCCATTGGCCCCAAGTCGGTGCTCACGAAGTCGTCCAGAAGCGATTGTTGAATAACGACACCCGATTCTTACGGAGGCCGCCCGTAATTTACAGTGTGCGATATTGGCAGCTGATGCCACACCTGAGTGCTGTTTAATACATGCAGTCGCAGTCTTCTAGTTCAACCTTAAGTACGTTTACTCGGCCGCCATGTTATGGCTAGCACTGCGGGAAGCCGCACGTGGTTAGCTATGCACCTTCAAGGGGTGAATTAAATAAAAAGGCACGGTCAGCAGATGAGAGATATCCACTGCCGGCCGATAGTGCCCCACAATGGCGTCTTGTGCGCGAGGCTGCACCTCGTGCGCACAAGTAAAAAAAACACTTCAAATTGCGCGCCACATCCGTGGAAATCGTCGCTCCGTCCGCCCCCCCCCCCCCAAAAAAAAGCGCTGTGGGGATCGACCGAATAAACTCGAAACTAAAATCTGACGATTATCTTGTACTGCCAGGTGGGAGCCCTATGCCGGCAACGTAGTTCGTTCAAATCATCCGAAGGGGTAATATGAACAGGAGGGCCAAGTCGTCCGATGAGGAATCTACATTGTCAGCTGATCCGGCTCCTACAACGACACTGTGTGCACGATGTTGCACATAACGCGAACCAGTGTAACTATTTCACATTGTAGACCGTATGTGTTGAAACCACATTCCGGCCAGCCATGAAGCATTGCGTGATACGGGGTAGAGGGTCGGCCGAATAAAATCGCGACCCGAATCCGACGTGTTTGTTGTACTGACACCCGATAGCCCTATACCAGCCCTGTCGAATGCATACATGCGTCATTTGCGGGCCCGATTGTGACTATGCTCTCGAGGCCGACACTTTGAAGCAATTAATTTAGGGGCAGGCCGCCCGGAGTGAAGTCGCGCGCCGTCGAGGCGTGATATCAAAAACGTCACGTCCGCGATGAGATTTCCATCCCGGAAGATAGTGTTCCCTCAGTGACATGGTGTCCACGTGAGTAAAAGCATTTCGACTTCGGTGCCGATCTGAGTAATCCACCGCTCTCAATGACCGCCGTATTAAGTGATACCCTTTCGGTAATTCGAAACCAAACTCGGACGTGGGTGTTGTACTGGCAACTTAAAACGATACACAAGTCCTACCGAATGCACGGAGCCGCAGCCTTCGGGTTCGAAGACAGCTATCTTTCCCGGACCGACGCATTATGAGAATCACATTCCGAGCACCCGGCCGCGGTTACCTATGTGCCATCGTGGGATAATTTGAACCAAAAAGAGCATGTCAGCTGATGTGATGTTTACAATACCGGCCAGTGCGCTCAGTTACATCACGTGCGCAAGGCTCACCTTCCGCCCACAAGCGAAAGTATTTCAACTTGGACGCCATGTCTGTGCAAATAATCGTCCCGGCTGGCCCCAAGCACTGAGTGGGACGCTGTCGGTGGTCGACTGAATACGATCGGAACACGACTCCGACCAGTTTGTTACACTGGCAGCTGACGGCCTTATATGAGCGCTCGATTACGCACAATCGCAATCTTCGGGTTAGATTGTGAGCATGCTACCGGACTGCCGCGGCATGGCCATCCGAGCAGGCCGGCCGCAGGCTCGCGACTACATGGCTGCACGACGTGAAGTAGCGATTTGAACAAACATGTCATGCCGGCTGATGATATATCAACATTCTCGGTCGAAAGTACTCCCACAATGACACCGTGCGCGCAGGGTTGCACCTTCTGCGCACACAAGTAACAGTATTTAAGTTGTACGCCGAAGCTGTGCAAATCACACCGCCCACGCCGACCCCGAGGCATTGGCCGACGTGGCTTTAAGACCCCCCTGCGCTCTTGGGCGGGCGACCAATAAAATCGAAAGCGACATCCAAGGAGTGTGTTGCGCTGGCAGCTGATAGCTGTCGAACGCAGCAATTGCAATCTTCGGGTTCGATTAGAGGTACTTCCCCTGGTCAGCCGTAATATAGCCATCACTCTCCGGCCAGGCCGGCCACAGTAAGCGAGTCGCCGACAACGGGGTGGTTTGAGCAGAAAAGGACATGTCGAATGATGAGAGCTTTACGTTACCAGCTGATAGTGCTCACACATGATATCGTGCATGTAAAGCTTGACCTTCCGCGCACAAGAAATGGTGATATAACCGTACATCTGCAAATATCCGCTCCAGCCGGCATTTTGGGGCCGTACCGATTAAAACCGGAACTAAAATCCGACCAGGGTCCTGCACTGGCAGCTGATGGGCCTATGCTAGCACTATCGCATTCACACAGTTGCCATTGTGCT